TATATATATATACATATATATATATACATATATATATACATACATATATATATATATGTATATATATATATATAAGAATGAATAAGCATAGATAATTTCCATCAACCTAGAAGTTAAAGTGTTGTTATAATTTTTATATTTTAGTTGCTTAAGCTACCGGTAGCCAACTGTAGTCAGTTTACCACATGTGAAGTGTGCATCAGACCAACTGGAGACAAAGATGGAGACCCATATTGTGGTTGGTGTACACTTGAGAAAGTGTGAGCTAAGTATACCATTTTTTAATTTTTGATATGCATCATTTAATTCAAACATGAAAACTTTAAATACTATAGTAATATAATCTAAAGGTTTTAACTTTATTTAGCTTTTCTTTCATTCTTTCACTAGTTTCCCATATTATTTTTTGACAGATGTACCAGATTCAAAGAATGTAAAAGCTCTTCTTGGTTGCCTAGCAACACTGCACAATGCATACAGATTACAGATGTTGAGCCACCATTCGTCCATTACACAGATGAACATGTCAAAGTAAGTAAATGACCATGCCATCTAATTCATTCATAAAATGCCATGTTTGTTAATTTTGTATCTAATAAAATAATGTGTATTTATTGCTATTATTTATTTTTAACATTAACTTTTGTTCCATTTTGAAGTAGGAAAGTATATAAATTAATTGTATTATATAGGCTTATTTATCAAGTATTTTTATGTCGTTGTTTTTCGTAAATATTCTATTTTTAATTTGTAAAGTTATTTTTTAATCATTTATACATAAAGACATATAAAATTCTCTTATTGTGTCTGTAGTCGGATTCCTTCAATGATAGTTTTTTTTTTTAATTTGTTATCTAATAGTTCCAGTATGTCATTGTTGTATATACATTTCAATTATATTTGCTAATATAAATATTATATTTCTCTTTTCGTTCCATAGGTTGTCTTAACTGTTGGACAGCTTCCACCATTAAACATCAATCAAAGTTATAATTGTAAATTTGGTGACTTTGTGTCACCGGGAATGAAAGATGGAAAAACGATCAGTTGTGCATCACCTCCTAGAACACAAGTGCCACAAATACCAATTGGAGAAGGTCAGATGACCTCATTGATATTGTTTCAGATACCAGATTATAATTTTATATTAATCAATTAATAACAGTTTTAAAGTGATTTTATAATTTTAAGTCTAATTTTGTCATCTATTAGCTGCTGTGGAAGTTTCGTTGTCAGCGCATTCATCTCAAACTGATGTTGATTTTGTTACCACTCAATTCAGGTTCTTTGATTGCAGTGCCATCACATCGTAAGTTCGATTTTATCAGCTATTGAAGATTTTATTTCTTTAATTAAAGAGCGAAAGCTATTAAATTGTAACTCGCAACGGCACCTTGCCGACTTTTGTAGTACGGACGTGGACGTCAGTATAATTACATCCTTCAGGGACTGAAGAGACTCGTCTGGGCTCCAGGGATTTAGTCCTATTTCTATTCTACTTTCTGAACTAACTACGAGGAGGGTATCAAACCAGTGATAATGTTTACGCGCTGTATTGTTGTAAGTTGTATATTTTTTAAATATTTAGTGGTTTATTATATTAAATTAAAATTCTTTAAATTAAATGATTTATTGCACCTTGCGTCTATTTTATTCCGAAATTATAATACTAAATTAATGAAATGAATGATGATCATACACTAATTTAAGTAAGGACAAAATGTTTGTGCCGATTTACCGCCCAGATGCTTGCATAGCTCTGGAAGAAATAGCCTATATCGTAGCACTATTCTTTGAAATGTCTTATCATTATTGGCATATTTTGAGTTCTTATTTATGTCTATTAAAATATCATAAAAAACAATTTTACAATAACACGAGTCTACAATATATTGGACGCTACAAAAGCGACACATGTGATAATTCATTATTCAAATTACGTTAGCACTGTACAGTGAAATGAGCAGCAGAGTATTCAGTATGAAGTAGTTAAGTGGAAAGTACCACTTTAGTGATTTCGGCTGATACAAACGCGTTTATGTTCACTAAACATAATGTAATAATATATATTATAAAGTGATCTTGTTAATCACTAAAATAAGTCAATATGTGACGAATAAGGAACGTCTACAGACTACATCTATCACAAATTTATAGCATGTATTGTATATTCTATTTTTTTACCATATTCTTTACTAGTTGGAATAGTATCTTACCTGCTTTTATAAACAAAATTATTATTGGCTTATGTTCTTAATTTAAAAATAATTTGACTTTCATTTGCTAAGGTCTTTCTAAAATTACAGTTATATACGAAGGAGTATTCAATATTATGCTTTAGAATATTCTGTCTTTTCACGAGTAGGCCTATATAAACCCATAGGTGTAATAATAATAATGAATAGTATGTGTCAGGAACAATAATGAAAAAAAACATAAATATAATTTATTTTAACGAATATTTTCTCCTCTTTTTAAGGAATTCATCAGCGTAACTTGCTTCCTTGTTTTCCCATTATTCGAGCACTGCTATTATCTAATTATTATGTTTATATAAATAAATTTTTATGTACGATTATTGTATATTTTAAATCTAATTTTGCGTAATAATTTTATTGAAATTGTAAGGCTCATATACAATTTGGCCTTTGGTCCACGACTTGTGACCGCTTTTAATGTGGATGTTCTGGGTGCAATTATATGGTGTAATTATAAAATGATATGGTGCAATTGTAACACCTTCGTGATTACACCATGGCAGTAGAGTAGTTAATCTGCTTAAACGTTAATTTTAATTCAACTTTTATTTACGGGTGTGCATTATTCTTAGATCTACAAGAGGTCACGATTTGAACTCTGTAAACACGGAATACACATTAATACTGTATAGTGAATTTGTTTTGTTTTTTTTTCATTTTTTTCTATAAAAGTTTTCTTCAAATTTTCAAATAAAGTAAAAGTATGTACTACAAATTATTATCATCATATTTTTTTTAAAATTATTTCTTTACTATATATTTAGTAGAAAACCGAAAGGTCCACCGAATAACCTCAGAGAAGAAAGTATAATACATACTCCAAGTATTGAAATACACGCCATCGTGTTGGGATTCAATATTTCGACATTAATTATGTCATCATCAGGAATGTCATCATGCCATCATCAGGAACATTCCTGATGGTGACATAATTAATGTCGAAATATTGAATCCCAACACAATGGCGTGTATTTCAATACTTGGAGTATGTATTATACTTTCTTGGAGTATGTATTATACTTTCTTATATTTAGTAGAATTTTAGTAAGTTTTTGGGATAGGATACACGAATTGTGATGAGAAGTAAGCTGAACATATAAAAATAATATGGGACTGGGTGAGCGTAGATATTATAATATTATATTCATTATATATTCATTATTTTTTTACACTGCCATTAGTTGTTCTGAATGTGTTATCAGCTTCTTTTGTGATTGGTGTGTCTATGAAAACACATGTACCCATAATGCATCAGCATTCTGTAGTGCAGATGATCAAGTAATCCTGAATGGAAATGTAAGTTTAATGCAAAAATTCAATTAAATTGATAATAACGTTGTAATTGTAATACACATTTAGGTCTGAAACTATAGTCTTATATTTTGGCTAGTATTGCTTGCTTGATAGTTAGCAATGTTAACGTGAATGCATTGTATTTGGAATAATGAGAAACCAAATTGTAATTTCAGTTATTAGTGCAAATATGCAAAATAATGTTATTTATTCGCAAATTGTATGCTTTTAAGGCAACCCTGACTCCAGCTCCTGGTGGTATGCAGGGTCATGGTTCATGTCCCCAAATTATCCGTCAAACCAATGAAGAACTGATTCATGCGAGTGTAGAGAAAGAAGTCAGAATACCTGTCAAGAATTTACCAGTAAGAAATGAGTATCAAAAGTCATTGTATTCTATATTAATAAATATTAGTTCACATTATTCATCATTGGAAGGAGTGGGTACCATAATTTATTATAGTATGAACATTCGCAATTTTTTGTAAGGTTCATGATAATTCTTTTATTATATTTCTTAACAGGCACTATAAAGGCTACTTAGTTTTGTGCTAAAAAAATACATTTTTTGTGTGTTCTCAGTATAAATATTCTTACTGTCATTCAATGATGAATTTAAATAACTAGGTTTAGAACTACAGTAAAACAAACAGTTAAAACTTTACAATTAAACTGTTCTGATCTGTTTTGATGATTTTTTTAAAACAACTGTTTTTGCTGGTTTTAATCTGACAGCAAGTTAAACACACTCTTCCTGCTTTAAAAAATATATATTCTTTTTATTCATGATCTTGTTTAGGTCCTCAGTGGCTTTGAGTGTGTGCTGACAATTGAGGGGAAAACATCAACTATTCCGGCGTCTGTTGAGAAACATAATATTACTTGTTCCCAATACAATGTAAGGCTTTATGCTTGACTGATACCTCTTATGTCTGCTGACATCCCACGAGAGCCGTAGCCTTTCTATGTAGCTTCTATTTATCCCCCGCAATGTACTCTTGTCTATCCATCATTTAATGTAAGGCCTACTAAAATTGTTGACTTTCATAACATTTTATAGACGCAATACTATGTCAGTATACAATATATTATAAAATTTAAAATTTTTTTCAAAATAATAGAATTTAATATACTTCATAGATTTTATGCAAATTGTCTTAGATTGTGTTGAAATTTAGAGACCATTAATATGCCCTACTAAGCGTGGTTAATGTTGAAGGTTTTCTATGACTACTTAACATAGCTATTCCCTGTGTTGCTTATATAATTCAAAACAGAATTACAAAGATAAGACAACCATACATTTATAAAAAATTCTCTAGTTTTCATCTCCTGAGGAGATTGTGATCCTAATTTCTTATGTGAATCGTATGATTATTTAAATGTCGACGTGGTTCAAATTTTAATTTAGATTATTTTCTGTTTTCTGTTTAAATCTCATAGTATGATTATGCAGCTGACGACCAGGAACTAACTGCAAATATTAAAATTGTTTGGAATGAAAACAACTTCATTGACAACATGTATCAAGGTTGGTAATATTTCATTGTTCACAGTCTAAGCTAAGTACATAAACACACTTTGTTAGGCTATCAATAGACCTGAGTATCTGAAGCAAACACTTTTCTTTTAGTACCTGAAAAATACACTTACAGTAGTTTAAAAAAAGAGTCACTCATTTGTCGTCAATAAAAACATTGACGATGCGAGTCAAACTAGGGATGCGAAATGTGTCATTCAATCAATTTTGTATAATAGTTAGCAAACACTGTAGCGTTTCCTGTTTAGGGGCTCATTGATTTTTGCAGTTATTTTATTGTACCAAGAAGATATTTTTGGGGAATTTTCTGTATTTCCAAGGCACCTAGCCATTATTACATGAGTCGATAAATAAATTAACAATTACGTGTAGCTACTTCTATGCTTTGAAGTAAGTGACATGTTATTATGGGGTTATTGAAATTCTAAATCTGTATAATAAGAAATTATGTACATATAATAAGTATGAAGGATATAATTATAATAGACAAAATAATAAGGAAGGTGGTGATGAATATGATTGTCTTGGTGGTTCATGAAGTGTCTTTTATTGCATTGTATTTGAATATAATTCCCATAGTAATTATTTTCTCCTATTGTGTCTAGTTATAAATAAAACACTGGAAATGTATCACTTTAAAGACTAATTTAATATGACAAAACACAAGCTTTCAAGCACACAGTCTTCTTCGTGAAGCAGTGTGTCCTCGAAAGATTATTTAATCTTTAAAATGATTTGTAGTATTTTATTTATAATAATCAGACTTGTCTTATCTTTTTGTGTTTCTAGTTATTTTGTACAAATGTTCTGTGCAGCGTCCAGATTGCAGCCGGTGTCTTTCTAACAATACTACCAGACCACAGCTTGATTGCGTCTAGTGTGGAGACCATGGCTGTGTATATGATTCATTCTGTTCGACAGAAATAAATGACTGTCCAGCTCCTGTAATCAAGCAGGTAAGAATAATCAAACACCGCCCTCAACTGCTGATTCTAAAGTTTTGCTGCAGTTTACAATCGTTATTCCTATTATGCAAATATTAATTAATTTTTGTGTAAAAAATGTTTTCAATGTTGTTGGGCTATGGCAGTTGGTCTTTTATTTTTCACCCTTAGTTATTCAATGATTTTTCATGTAATGTTTTGAAGTGTTGAAGCTAAAATGTTATAAAATTTAAAAAAAAAATAAAATAAAAGTATTATCTTTTAATAGGTTATACCACTTTCAGTTGCTACGGTAACTAACCAGCCTGAGTCTGATTACACTGAGGTCATTGAACTTGTTGGAACTGATTTTGGACAAACATCTTCAGATATTGCTAGTATTATGATAGATAGCAAGGAATGTGAAAAGATTGCAGATGGGTTTAACATATCCTCACAAACGTAAGGCTTTCAAATGACTCTTGATTTGAGGGAACTATATTGTTCTTCACTTAATACTTACACAGTTGTTACTTGTATTGTATTAAATGATTGTCTATTAGTATATATTGCTTGTATCTTGATTTGGGTATTGTTGTTTTGTTTTTATACTTATACATTTGTTATTTTTTGCTTTTACATCTAGTGTTAAGTGTAGAGCTCCTGTCTTCAGCACTGCCTCTCGAAGAAATGTCATCATATCTGTCCAAGGGGAACCAAGTGGACCAGCATACATAGTTTATCAGGTTATTATATATTTATATTTGATATTTATTCCATATAGTGGAACAATACACTTCATATCTAGCATAAACTGCTAAAAGTTTCTTCAATTCAATTTATTTTTCCAGAATCCTTCAATTTCCGACATCACTCCAAAGTTTGGAATCAAGCATGGTGGTACACGAGTGAATATAACCGGCATGTTTTTGAACACCGGTCGAGATCTTATGGTATCTATGGGTGAAAGCGAGTGTTATGTTAAAAAGTAAGTAAACAAATTTCTTTTTTGGATCTTTTTCACCTGATTATCCATTCTCTGGTATTGGTTAATTGTTTATTTTATTTTTCTCACTGCAGTGTATCTGAAACTCAGATACTTTGTACAACCTCGCATTATGCAGTTGAAGAAGAAGTAATGGTAACGGTAACATTTGGACAGGCTACAAGAGATGCTACTACCTTTACATACACAGACAACCCAAGAGTGACGGAGTTTAATCCAAAAAGCAGTATCCAAGCGTAAGAATGTCTGATCCTTTCTAATAACATTTCCACTTGAACTGTTTTTGGCAGAATATTTATTTGAATTACATTCCACATTGTATGACTATATCATATAATAAAAATATTGATAATAGGTATTATTATTATTATTTTTTTATTTTTATTTATTATTATTATTGTTAGTATTATATTAGAAATATTGTTATTATTGGCAGCAATAATAGTATTTGTATATTTATTTGATATAAGAAAATGCTTTGTAGGCCTACATTACTATTTCTACAATAAAACAGGCAGATGTTGATTTCAAGTTTGATATCTTTCAGTGGTGGTCGTAAGATTACTGTGACAGGGATACATTTTCAGTATGTGCAAGAAGCCAAGATGCTAGTGAATGGTGTATCAGCTAAAGCAGTAAGAAAATCTAAGTTCTCGTGGAAATTAGTTCCTAGGCGGGCACCTAGAAATATGTCCCAGTAATTCATAATGGCTTGTTATTTGTTTATTATATCATTAATTTTTTTTATAGAGATGAGAATCAAGGAAATAATAATAATATACGCTAATTTCAAACAGCCATTATAGTCCCTTCTTAAAATAGGATAAATACTTATGTCCTGGTTATGACAGTAAACCAGGTGATTAAAAAATGCAACCAAATTTATTTGCAGTGTTAGTGGCCACTGGGTGTGAGGCTGGCTATTCAAACATCATGAAAAATATTGACAGAACAACAAACGGGTAAACATCTCAGAGTTAGCAACCAAGCTTCGTTAGTTTTTAGAGATTAGTTTTTGGACTAGATTATGAATTGCTTTTAAAACTATTTCATCATATGTTAATAGTGATTCTTTGGAGTTTCGCTTTTTTTTAAAGTATACAACATGCACATAGGATATAAAAACAATGTTTTAATGTATTTTTAATAGTTGAATATTTTCCTTAATTTTTTAGCAGTCGCTTTGTTGTTATAAAGCATTACTATTGTTTATATCAGCTATATTTAAGGCCAAAGAGATTGTAAATGTGCTAAAGATAATTGAATATGTAAATACATTTTAGAATAGGAAGCAGTAGAATGGAATAGAAAAGATTCTCTATCTTCTTTAGGAAAACCCATAAACAGTAGGAAAGCTACAATATACTTTACTTTTTAAGTGTAAATTGATTAATTCTAGTTTCTTTTCTTTTCAGAATTGTGAAGTTTTATCAAATGAGAATATGATTTGTGAAAGTCCTCCCACAGAACTCTCTTCATCAGGTCAGCGTAGCAGACGACAAGCACATGTTGCATTACCTTTGACCTTTTCGTTTGATGGCTATGTTATTGAATCGAGTGGTGAATCTGAATTTAGAATTTATCCTGATCCTATCTACTATCCCTTCAGTAGTAAGACAGTATATGGACAACTTGTAGAAGATGGAATTTACATACTAGAACGTGATATTACATTAATTCAATTGAGGGTAGACTATGTTGTTTTTCCTTGTCGGTGTTCAAACAAATAATACCTTAGATTAATGGTGGATAAACACATTAACTTATATTTAATAAGCCAATTCAAACTGCATATGCCCACGTCAAGGTCAATTGATAATTGTGGAAGCAGTTTGGCGCAGCGGGAACTGTTTGGTTTCAACCTTGAGGTCGGGGTTTCAATCCCTCGCTTTCAATTGTTTCGCTAGTGTTCTTGAGCAAGGCACTTTTTATCTGCATGTACTTCTCTCCACCCAGGAGTATTTAAATGGGTACATGGTGTGGTTGCCTGCTCCTACGCTGATTACCAGCAGAAACACTTAAAGCATGTGGACCCAATGACCAGGGAAAAAAAGTGCACTTTATAACCTAAAGGAAGAGGCGCATAATGAACGCCTATACAAGTACCAGTACATAAACAGACATAGGTTTATGTAGGTAGACCTTGGAATACAGGCTTGCGTAACTACAAATTGGCTTATTAACTTTTCCACAGTTAAAGAAAATCAGCTGGAAATCTTTTACGGAATTTGACATTTCCTTGAACCTTTATAACATGTAACATGTTTCCCCATAGGGATCAGGCATAGATCTAAGTGCCACTGATGTCAGTGATGTAAAGGTGTATGTTGGTGAGACTCCATGCAATGTCATCTCAGTAGCTAACACGACAGTTGTTGCAGAGGCACCAAAAGAGGAACCTGATGCAGTAAATGGTGGAGATCATCCTCTTGTCATGGTAAGTTGGAAGCTGTGATATATATAATAAATTAGTTATTGATTGATTGATCGATTGATATATATCCCGAGCCGAGCCGATCACCTGATGATTGAGGCTGTGCCCTCATGAAACAGTCTGTAGTGCAAAATAAAATGTTGAGTTTGTAACCTAGTGTCTTTGATTACTTATATATATTCCATGTTTGTCCATTAACTTTAAATGATTAAGAAAAATCATTAGATAGCATGACTTCATTAGAAAAAATTAGGAAAAATAGAACAATATAATACTCTTTGAAGACATAAATGACAGTGGATAGTGATAGCTGTCATTAATAATGTAGTCTAATAACCCATAGTATGTTTTTGGTTGTTAATTTTGTAGATTTATCAAGGCAATCTAGTTGTAACATTTGGCCCAATAAGATATCCAGTGAACAGTGTGTCAAGCACTGTTATCATTGTTATTGTTGTGGTTGGTGTTGGTGCAATCATCATCTTATTGTCTGTTGTTGGTAATTGGCTTAGATTAAGGTCGATTCGCAGACAACGAGATGAAGCTACAGTGAAGTTTTTTACACAAGGTAGGTAGATATATGTTTTTATATTGGAAGCATATATTCCTCCATGGTATAATGCACTCAGTGATCTTGCGCTCAAATACCGATACAGGCCCCCTAGCGTGACTTAATTTGTGGGAGGTTTGTTTCAGTGGAAAGTGAACCCTTATCTCTGATAATCTGGAGAACATTGTATCAATATGTCTACGAATATCAATTTTTCGTTTTTAAATGCGGACCTTCTATATTTTTTGGGCAGTTCGTCGTAACCGCCTTAACCCCCATCTTTATATCTCCTTCAACAATAAAGGCAGGTGGAGACATGAAAACCTGGGTAAACGTAGATTCTGTGCTGCCCCAACACTATGGAATGCTCTTTCTCTTCTGGCGTGGATACAGGGGGTAGAGACGGTGCTATCGCACTCCTAAATCGTATTTAAAAAATATTAATTGTTGTATCACATGGTAGATATGAATTACCGACAAGATTGTTAAGGTATGAGAGTGCAATATCCGGGCACCTAGAGAAAAATATTTAAAAACTATAGTGAAACTGCTGGTTCTGGTTGGTAAAGCCTAAAAACTCTAAAAGTATAGGAGTGTAACAGGAGGGGTAAAAAACTATAGTAACGTTATTAGTTGAGTTTATAGCAAAAATAAAGTTGATCAGTATTTTAAAGAGATTTACAAATATAGACAATATAAGGTAGGCATAGTGTACTAATCCTTCAGTTATTTTACTGAACTGATTGTAACATATTTTAAGGTATTTTCATTATTCTTTCATATTTAGCAAATCCCGCAAAAAATGATTCTCCTCCAGAAGATCAGGTGAACGTAGTTGTTGAGGTCCCCAATGCAGGCTACATGGATATGATTCAGGATGGACAGCAAAAAGTACAGAAACGTTTCTACTCTAGAGGGCAGTATGTACACAACATGCTCTTCAAGGGTTGCAAGAGGATTCCACAAGTAATGGAAGAAAGTAGATATGTAAGTTTAATCCACAATTATTTTAGAAATTTATAAACCACAACTTTGTAGTTTTAATCTGTACTTGAAATTTTTTTGTTGCATTTTAATTGCGAAGTGAAAATTTATGAATATGGTATGGCAAACCAAGTTTAATCACATCTTATTTATTTGTCATAAACATTTTGTTATATTTGTTTTTGTTTTAGACTGCACTTGAAAAAATTGACGACGGTTTGCTCAAATTATCAAAATTGCTTTTGAATAAACAGTTTGTATTAAAAGTTGTAGAGATTCTTGATGAGGATCCTTCAGTAACTAGATTTCAGAGGTAAATTCAGCAAACTTATGTTTATCATTACAAAAAATAATTTTATTAGCTACATTATGAAATGAAATGAGTTAACTCTTTGCCCGAGTTAATGATGACCTGACGTTTTTCACTGCTAATTTCTGCAAGGGTGGCTCCAGGATTTGTCAGACTGGGGGTGGGGGGAGATGTCCACGCTGGCCCCCGGCCCCCGCTGGTGCCACCCCTGGATTTTTTTAACAACAATAACATAAATTCCTATTGATAATGGTATGTTCGGTGATAACAATTGTAACAATGATACTGCATTTACGATAATTTTTTTTCAGACAAAATTTTGCCGCGTTGTTTTTAATGGCCATGCTTAATGAAAACAAAATTGAACATTTAATTGGGTACGTATAATTCATGTCTAATTATATTATAATTAGAGTTTTATACCTTATTTTAAATTGTTTTTTCTTTATATTGAATAATGCACATAGAAGGTATTAAGTTATTATGCTTAACATTATATATTATTGTTAATTTAAAAGTATATAATATAATTTTATATAATAAAAATATAATTTACTTAAGGGGAACATTCAAAAAATGTATTATTATTTGTAATTGATTTGTTTACAGTGTATTGGAAGTTCTTTTGAGAAAACATGTTGAAAATATGGTGAATTTAAAGAAAAGAAAGCAAGTTCTAAACAGGTATATTTATATAGGTTTAATTAATTTTAATAATTAAAAAAAAAAACAGTGTTGTTATTGATATACATTTAAAAGTTATAAATAAAAGATTTCAACAGTGACATATTATTTGTCTATGATTACAGAACGGAGACAGTGGTAGAACCATTGATTTTTCACTGGATGGCTCTATGCATGTACAAATATATGATGGTATACTTTACTTTATATATCCCAAATTTATTTCTTTAATTATTAAAAACCAATTTGATGTTTGACTGAAAATCAATTAGGCCTATATTTCTCGTATTATATATATTATATGTCAGTGACTATTTTGTTAAATTATTTTTCAATAAGAAAGTATAATACATAATCCAAGTATCTAAATGCACGCCATCGTGTTGGCATTCAATATTTTGACATTAATTATGTCATCATCTAGAATGACATTTACGAATTCATGATGACATAATTAATGTCGAAATATTGAATCCCAGCACAATGGCGTGCATTTCAATACTTGGAGTATGTGTTATACTTTCTCATCTGAGATTAGTCAGTGGACCTTTCGGTTATTATTCAATGTTGTGTACAGACATTTTTTAATAAGTGTCTCTCTTTGTAGGACTTCGTATCAAGCCCTTTGTACGAGCTTGTTGAGGCCATCAGGACAAGGATAGAGAGTGGCGTTGTAGATGCTGTACATCATCATTGTCAGTATTCACTGAATGAGAAATATTTGCTGCCCAGTGACATCACTGGAGAAGACATCGTAATTAACAATTACTTAAAATTACTCTGGCTAAACAATTAAATGTATCAACCTACTACATATGTAAATCAAAAATTGATTGAGTTCCTAGTTCACATATCAAGCGCCCTGAGCCTCTTATGTTAGATGGGTATGGTGCTATATAAAGCTACACTATTACTATTGTGTGTTTCACCTTTAGTTATGTTTATATTTGTATGATTAAGTTGAATGCACCACCCTTGTGTGTTGTGCCGTTTCAACGACGTATGTTCGCAAAGTAATAAATACAATCCACTACTTCCATAGCTTTTGATGTGATACATTACTAATAAATATAAATAAAATGAGAAGCCTATTTGCCAACAACAATTGTTAAGGTGAATATGATTCAACAAAAGTGGTGGCTTATGGATGATTTGTATGTGATTTAATATAGTAATTTCATCTATTTTCTAGTATTTGCAATTGATTGTCAATGAAGAAACAGTGAAGCAAGAATTAGTGAAAGTAAAAAGTTGCGATACTCTACTACAAGTGAAACAAAAATTACTAAATGCAATGTTTATGGATCAACCTTTTTCAACAAGGCCAAAAGCTATGCATGTTAAATTAGGTGTGTACTACAATACTCTTTCATAATCTATTTCATGAACTGCCTAAATTTCGCAAGAAAAAAGAAAACACCCAGGGCTTCAGTTCGAGGTTTTAAGATACGTAATTATTGTTCTTTCAATTGAAATACTTCCTGCGAGAAGAATAGAACATTCAATGCTAATGCTCCACTTGACAACGACCACCAGGTTTAAAATGAAGTTTGTTTGTGCATTAAGCAGAAAAAAGCAATCAAAATAAGCATACTTACCAAAGAACAGTGAACTGTTCCCTGTACTTACGAACTAACATTCCAATCGACTCTATTATTTCAGAATGGAGAGTCAGTAGAGAAGAACGTATAATTTTACAAGACACTAAGGACGAACCAGGAGATTCACAAACAAAGAAAAGAATAAAAACAATCAATGAATATGGAGTAAGATATATTTCTATAGTAAAGTAGTGCTTACAGTTGGTAAACTCTACGTCAGGTTTTTTCTGTAGTCGCACGGTTTCAATGAACACAATGTGTATGCGTTATCCTCACCATTCATTTATATTTTGTAGATCCATGGTAATGCAATGGTAGCGTTTGTAAACATACAGAGAGAAGATGACGAAACATTAAATGCTTACGATAAAATCAAACAACCAACAGACACAGAACCTGGTAGGCATAAATATTTGAGTTCATATAGTGATTTCATACATAGTATAGCCAATAACAGTATATACCAATACCATATATATAAGAAAAAGAGTGTAAGTTACCATTCAGAGTTGTAGTTTAGTTCCTGGGAGCTTTCGATGACATGTCATCTTCGTCAGCCGTTTGAATCTGGCGGTTAACTGACACGTCAGGATTGATGTTCGTGTGATGACGTAGCAGGCTATTGTATATGGGTTGTACATTATATCCGCAATCTTGTTTTAATGGTGGCGTTCTCATTTTAATTTCCATAGCTTCTTTTAATTTCCTTTTGAATGAATTGGTCTCTTTAGTTAGTACTTTGATTTTATTCAAATTAATGTTGTGACCAGTGATTTTACAATGTTCCGCTACCGCTGAAAGTATTTCAACACGTTGATTTAAATGTTCCTTGACACGTATGCCTAATGATTGCGGTTTCTCCGATATACGTTTCTCCGCACGTATCACATTCAATTTCGTACACGACCCCGCACTGTTTTTTTAAAAAATAGGACCGGGTCCTGTTCTCTACTCGGTATAATATAGAACGTACCACTGATCTCTTGTGTTCTAGATGATGGTTCGATTGAAAATTTAGATATTGGTCAGTGTGTGTTGGTTTTCTGAAAATCGTGAATTTTGTACAAGTGTCTGTGCTAACATGTGTGTATGTGTCCAAAAACGGAAGTTTCATGACTTCTTCCTATTCCATTGTAAATTGAATGTCAGGATCGATGCTGTTAATGTGGTCCGTAAATTCTTCAATTCGGCCTCGATGTAATTTCGTAAATGGCTCATCCACGTATCTATACCAGAACTCTGGGGGAAGTGGTGTCGTGGTTAACGCCATGTATTTAAAGTTTTCATTATATATGTCCGCGATTATATGAGATACTGGTGATCCCATTAATTCATCT